CTGATTGTAAACTTAATTATTATCATATTTTTCTCTACGTAAAGAGATTTGTTTTACATAGCTCAAATGGGGTTATCTTTGGAAATAGACATGACATGAGGAACTAATAATAAATCAGAAAATATACACATTGCATGACCCCAGTCCTTATAGCAGATTCAATGCAGAGTTTTCATGTCTAACAATAAATATGCTACTTTTGAACAATGGTAAACATTTACAAACAACATTAAATGTTAACATAATCAATGTTATAGGTTGGTTAAGATTGTGCTCCGGGTTGGAGTGACTCTGTCGATCATGAATTTTCATAAGATCACAGAGATCACCCTGATATGTGTTTCCAGTGTGCAAACAGTTATTTACTGAAATAAACGTCATAAGTATGTTTTTCTGGGATATTCTATAACAAGATAAAACATTGACTTATTCAAACAACCAAAGTATATATGAAATAAAAAGTTAATATTGGATATTTTACCGATGCTTAAAAAACATTTTTATATTTGTTCTTTAAATATGTATATGAAAATAAATGTCTGTTTTGAATCTCACTTAGCTCATACATTGTTTAGGCTGTCTGTAGATAAAGTTAGGTAGCAAGATTTGTCATTGTGCCAACCTAATTCTTTATTATTATTTGATGTAGGTATAAGTAATTTTAAATGATACTAGAAACATTGGTTTTCCAATTTATCTATGAATGTAGATCTAATAAACAGAATTTATAACCAGTTTAGTCAAGATAGTTACATACTTAAATAGAGAGACGAATAATATGCTTTACTGGAAACAAAAACAATCATAAGTAACTCATGTTTATTCTATTAGTATTTACCTAGTGAGTGCGGTTCTCACTTATTCTTGTGTCACTTCACAGTAGTTTGGTTGTAATTTTTACATCAGGTTATCTCTTACTCAGTTATCAGATATCATTACAGTTCTTCATGATTTTTATCCACTTACAATTAACACCAATCCCCGAGCACACTTTTCATTTCTTCTTCATATCTATCAAGTGGGCAATTGCGTCACACACTTGTGGCGAGTAAATTATTTTCATTTTCAACCTTTAAACCATTTTCAAACTAAGTTTTGATACTTGGACTCTCTGAATACTTGATGATGTACTGTCATTATGTTGTATGTTTGGTTAATATACTTCTTAAATCACTATGAACGAAATTGTACCGATTTAAAATATTTATTTAACATATATCGTATAACAAAAGGGCCATATCAAAACAATCGGCATTAAATGAACAATCGTCAACAAATACAAAATTTATTTGGGAATGTTAACAACCAGACAATTTAAAGCCTCACTTATAATGGTATAAAAACTATACTTCTTGAAAAAAATAGTGACTACTTAAACCTAGTAGATCAGCAAATAACGAGTTCCAGTTCAAATGTAAAAATATTGGGTTCGAGTCCCAATATGAATGAACATCAAAATAGTAATGAGGTTACATCGAGCTGACGAGTCCAGAATTAACCGTGATATATGTCTTGGATTACACTGCTATCCATCCCATATAACTTCACTGGATCGTTTCCATTTCTTCTTTAATAATACGGCGGGCCTCGTTCTTTGTAAACTAGAGGTAATTGTAGTCATCATAATAGGTCATTATCACTAACATTCAGCTATGGATATGATGTGGTAGACAAGCTCTTATATAAGTGAATAAATAAAATTAGAAAACTATTCAGTTCTAAAATAATTTTCTTAATAATTGTTTTATTAATTAACGTGAACTTATAAAAGCGTTAACTGATTTACATTCAATTAGTATCCTATACATAAAATTCATGAATTATTGATTTTTTGTTTCATGATCAATATTATTTTTAGTTAAAGTGAATCAATATTAAAGTAAATAGCACTTTCTGAATGACAGATCAATAAAATAATCAATGACCTATTGAATTAATTCACAAAATGATTAATTATAAATTGATTGAAAATATAACATTGATTAATTAATAAAAAATATACTCCAAATCATTTACATAAATTTTTTAATGATTACTATATAATTATTATATTATTTTGAGTAATTTAAATATGTACCGTTAAGAACCATTGAGTTTTCTAAAAACAGATGAATTTGAAAAAAAAGAACATAGTGATTAATATTATACAAAGATAATATGTGTTAATGAGTAAAATATTATTAATTGTAACAGAAGTTCATTATATATCAGTAACTACACAATTATTCTAAGGAAAGACTAAGATTTGAATACAGATAAGCATTTTGTCTCATTCAACATTAATCAGCCGTATTTATTTGTGTTAATGTTTAAACGGAAAGTGAAAACCAGTACTCGATGATTGAAACCCCTGTAGAGTAATCACTTAGACATAGTATGATCCTTTAACAGATATAAAGATACCATATATTTACAAACTGAAAGGTTTATTGCTAATCCAACGATCTTTAATAAAAGTGAATTATAAATCTATGCAATATTCAAACATTTGTTACAGAAACCCATATGCTGAATGGGGAAATAGTCAAAGTCAGTTTAATTATTAGCTGTAAAGAAATAAAAATACCTGGAATCCTCAATTATTTGAATAAAGCTTTGTGAAAGGTTTATGGGATGAAATTATGTGATAATCTTTATAGTGAAACGTTGTATTAAATAAAGATAATCTGTCCACAAAGATTGTGACAGTTCATTTTATCTGACTTATCGAAGTAATTAACATTTCGTTTGAAGATTTAGACTAATATCTTTTAATATTTTAACAATCTATCGTAATATCTAAACCGTTCATGTTTCCAGCATGATCTACCGTAAATCACATGTAAGACATAAATTTGTTTTCATTTTCAAGGATACTTGTAGCACAATATAGAGTTAAGTCCCATGAATCATTGAAAATTGAGCAGTTAGTTCTTCTCATTTTAATAAGTACTTAGTAAGTTTGCTTTGCAATAACATTAACTACCATTGTCTATTTACACATTCTCTAAATTTATGCTTTATAAGCCACATAACTACTACTTAATGAATGAGTCATTTTAAGTTGATTGATCTGTTTGGTCATTTTAAAGAGACTTATTATGTGTTATTTGTTGGTGTTAGCGCGTTTTTTTTCTGATTGCAGTTAGACAACCAGTGAAAACCAGGAAGTACTAGACGACTGTTTCATCCTAGTGTAGGATTTCTTAGCTGTGCGCATCTATCGTCTCTTCAGAAGTTCCAACCCAAGATATACACATTTGCAGCGAGAGCTTGATAGTAAATCTACTGAGTCAGGATCTAATGGTTTATGTATCCAACTTTAGTCGATCTGCGCTGTCGCGAAATAATCCTTTATTTCTGCTGGTGGATAACACCCGACATGTCTAACTTCCAGTAGCCACAGAGTATCATTAGAAATCCTGGAACTACCTTTTGAAATCAGCCACTAGATAACACGTTAATATTCTTTTTGGTGTAAGGTGAATGTGGAAATTATTGAATCTTCATAGTTTACATCATGATTTGGTTTTCGCTAGACAATCATTTTTGTGTCAAATAAAATACAGTTCAAAACTTTCCATTTGAAAAAGAGTCCATTTCAGCTACTTAGTTGAGTCAGTCATGAGTTTTAGACTATAAATCCACTTACTCATGTTAGCTCATACTTTGAGTACGAACGTTTTTACTTAATGACTTGGTGTATTAAATAATGTCGTCTTTGGGTGTTAAAAGTACTGATTATTTCTCATACGCCAGACTTGCAATATAACTAGTCATCTCACCGACCTCCATGTAATCTGGTATATGGAAAGTAGTTGTGATCAACGTTTAACATTCGTTTTCTATTTAAAGAACTTAGCTTGATGCTAATGACTGGAATGTAAAGGTGAATTAACCTCCGTGAACATAAAATCATATGCGAACTAACTAGATTAATATTTTTGATGAAAAAAGACTGAGAGAACTTATTGCTTTCTCATCGGTTTCATCACCTTCTAGGTCAGTGAGACAGATCTCATTATCTGCTTAGCAAGTATAGACAGAATGTGATAAGCATGAATATTGTCATTACTTTTAATAGATCAGATTTCACACAACTCTTGACTTGATAGCAAAAACTAAGCATGCAAGTGATTTTTTCATCAGTCTAAAATATCGCTAATTTTGTTAATAGGTAATATGCTGCTTGCTGATTAAAATGTCTCGTCGATCCACAATCAATGAATATATGTGTGCACATGACCGTTGTGTTCAATAACGAAGAACTACCACTCGAAATAAAGTGAAACGTGGTTGATGATTTAACTAACGGAAAACCAAACAATCACTGCTGTGGAGACAAAACGGACGTCTAGTGCTTCCAGGTTTTCAATGCGGATCCGACATTGACCGGTTCATGATCTAAATAAAACATAACGTCCACAACCCCATAATGATATTATTAAAAATGTCTTTAAAGAACGTTTATTTGTAAATCCAATTTTATTCTAAGTTATTCATAATTGTAATGAACTTTCTTTTAATGTCAAACACTTGAAAGAGGATGGTAGTAAACTCTCATATTAGGTTTCCTACTGTTTAGGATTTTTAATCAAAGCGAGTTAACAGTCCTTGAGAAACTGTTGCTCTTCTTGGGATTCAAATCTATTCTATAGTAAGAAATATTATGGACAGCTATCAGACCCACAGCTTGACGGTGAAGAAAAGCCAGGAGGGCCAGAATCTTGCGGTCATTAGTATTTATTTAAAGACACCAGATACTATTTATTAATGAGTCCTATCAATTTGTGTTATGAACAGCTTTACAACAAAACAATTTAACACCTCCAATTACTAAAGGGCTAGTTAAAGATTATGGTATTCTACTGTTAGGTGGAAAATAGATCGTAGTTTCTTAATCATTGTAAATTTCAGGGCTGGATAGAATAGCTACTCAATACCTTATGGTTTTTCAAGGCTGAGCGTTTGTTTCAAACCATTAAATCGTAAAATACTAAAATGTACACTAACTCACTCATTTATTCGTTATTTGTACCATTTACCCGTGATTCTGAACTTCTCCTTGGATTTGATTCGTCTTGACAAAGAAACTTAACACAAACAGCTCCAGCATCATATAATGTCGGGTAGATTGATTTTAATCCAGGGCAGACATACCAATCACATGCAGATAGACATTTGAATGGAGTTGGATCTACAAGCAAACGCGGATTCACTTAACATTTATCCCTATTATCAAGTGTGAATGGATGAGTTAAAAGATTTTATTTAAATGATAACTTTTAATATGTTAACGTTCAAACAGCCCTGAAAAAAACGTTACTCGAAACGTCTTGATGTTACTAATGTTGTCTTCCAATTAAAATGTTTAACACAAACAGATGATTTATTTTAATATTACGAAATAAATCATTGATGATCGTAATTAAGAATGACGAACAAATCAATCAACCTTCCCGATTAAACATGATCACTGATTGTTTGTGTGTTATATCCACAATCAATTTGTTCTTTTTGTCGCTGATGAGAATGCACTTTTGAGTTTAAAACACTCTGTAGAAAGTTTTGACAAAGCAAAAAGACATTGTGTTTTGTCAATAAACGTCTACTGGGATGACAGTCTTTAAAGACGATCACCGGCATACTGCTCGTGATATATTTAAACATGATCTGGAATGGTTATTTCGAGATATAAGATATTTGAATAACCTATCCATCGAAATGACAAAGTGACGTTTTTTGGAAAATAAAAAAAACAACTCAACTTGACAACAATTTACTAACGATTAAAAATAAATTTTACTATTTCGTTTGCTCTCTTTTGAGAATTAAATTGAAATAAACTAGTTAAAAGTAGCTGTAAACTTACCTTGATTATCATTATCATCTTATCTTTTGTTGTCAAATTTTAGAAGTGGTACTAGTCATGAATCCATTGGATGCCAGATCAATGTCAAAGGTTTGGACGTTTGTTACGCTACCTAAAGGTGTTGGATTCGATACTCGGGGTGATCAGTGATGTTCACTGCTTCCTAGTCACAAGTGATTAATCCGTAATTGTTTTCATTTTTGTTAATTTTACTTAAGATTGACAAATTATTATTTTTTGGTCAAAAAAACGAATAAAGACACACTATAATTGTTTAAATTTTAACAATGATTTCGGATTTCCAACAAAACGTTAATTTCACTATGATTTGTCAAAACAACTGCTAAAAAAAAGACTTAAAACAAGTTGATGCATCTAGAAAGATTCATTTGTTAATCTTGCTTTGCTCCTAGTGAACTCATTCACAAATGTCTGCCATGGAATTATTCTTTTCATGACACTAATTATTTATTTCCACTTCTTATTTGATATGTGTTCAGTTAGTTAATTCGTTCAAGTTACACAAATTTAACATTAATGTATTATCCCTGGATAATTGTGTTTTCATGTTCTTGGCTGTTTATTCTAGAATATTCTTACATATTCAACCTAAAAATATTCACATTATTTAGCACATAAACATCGCTTATCGGTTTTTTTATACTAAATGTTCTTTTCATTCATCTTCATTGACGAGACCTCTGCTGACGTTATGATATCAAGTGTTTATACAGATTTTTAATGATTTATATTATTATGTTAAAGTAGTAAGCAGCTGATGAGGAACCGTAATATATCTAATAAATTCATGTTATTTCGCTAAATTGATTGTTCTTGCTTCAGTTAAATTCGGTTAAAAAAATAAACATGACACTAAAACGAATAGTCTTTTTGACAACAAATAATAGACAGTTGAAAAAATTATAATGATAAAATCAAAGTTTATGAATCATTAATCAATAGAATAAACAATAGACTTTGAGAATTGAATTTCATTCTACAGAGATATAGAGCGGAAAACATCGTTATCACATTAAATAGATATGAAACTGTTGAAAATGCAAGACTAATTACATGTTTAGTAAAACATTACTACAACGACAGGTTGTACATTAAAATGTAGAATTTCAGTTTGTTTATATTAGTAGTCGAAAATTTCACTCATAAAAATCATCAAGAAGGGAGGTTTTTTTGAGATTGTTCAATCTACGAAGTCCCAGTGGGATTTACACACTTTCCACGCATTTTTCTCACCAGCTGTTTTGTGAAAAAACTAAAAAGTAACTGTATTGAGCAAAACAAGTTATTGGTTACATATCCTCTATTTCATTTAATCTAGAAAAGTGCATGCAGTGTGGGATCTCGATTATAAGTATCATCGACTTCCTCAAATAGCTTATCAAATTGACTTCTCCAACTAACATTTGACCTTGAAATGATATCTAGACACAAGTTTGTTACATACTTGGACTCACACAAACTATCAGGTTTTAATAAGGAGCCAATAATCAGTACAGTTCAACAATCTGATGAGTAAGACATCTATCATGGTTGACAGGGCTGACCATCTCGGAAATATGAACAACTGGATATCAATTCAGTGATTTCATGGAAAAATCTATTATATAAACTCTAATGGAAAAAAACAAGATTTAACAAGTCATCATGCAAAAAATGAGAAATACTTTTACCTCCACATAGAATCACAAAGAGATTATTTTTATATAAATTTCGTTGTATTTCAGTGAGTGCAGCAGCCCCAACTGGATCAATGTGTGTAATTCCAGATATATCCAGCAGAAGAAATCTTCGTAATTTTTCCCCATCGTGCTGCATTAGAAAGTCATGCAGGTCAACATGTAATGAAGGTAGATTTGCTTCAGTTTGACGATGAGAAAAATTACATTTTTCTGTCCTGAGTATCTGAAATGGTTCCGGTATATTCAAATATAGGTGAAGGATGGGGAAACAAAAATAGAAATCTAAATTGTATGTAAACAATCATCGAGTAACTGTATAGGACATTTTATTTATAATATCAATAACTAAATTTAGTTTATTCTCAACCTTATACCTGATCACAACTATGCCTGCAAAGATTCTACTGTTACATGTACCAAACCCGGTTTAGGAGGAGCTAAGGACGTTAGGTTAGCGACCACATCACTAAAATACAAATTTATTAAAAACACGCTAACCACAAAATACCATTTAAACCTTTTGAACTCTGTCATAAGAGTCAAACGGTCTTCATTTAAAAAAGCTATGAAGTTACATGGTGAAATCCGAGATTCTTTAGATAAAATGAAGCAAATATTAGATTCAGGAGAGTTTCTGTTGTACTCTGATCATGAAGAAGAAGAAGATGCTACGCACACACAGAGAGTCGCACTGATGGTATCCAACGGAGCATGTAAAGCACTTATAGGATGGGAATCTCATGTATCCACAATCATCAAATCGTCATTCAAAACGGATTAGGAGGAGATCACAATGAATCTTGTCGATTGCTATACACTCAACAATGAAAGCAATGAAGATGATAAAGATCAGTTATATGAGAATCTGAATTAGATCGGAGAGAAGCGTTCTGAAATATTTTTGTTATTAAATACCGGCTTGGTGAAATGGTTGCCTGAAAATTCGGTCAAGTCATTAATCTAAAATTTTATGTACAAAACATGGAAGGTGAATTCCTGCAATGTTTTCTTTCATGTGTTCATTGATAACCAAACACATAACATAATTTAAAGAATCGTGACATATTGGTTATAGGAAAAAAATATTGTGTGAGTAGTAATATAAACCATATTATTATTTTTGATGATGTCTGGTAAAATTTGTGAATGTTTCTTCCATAAGACTATTACATTTTTGCATCGTTCCTGTATGTATTTATAATTTTGCATAATATTATGAGTTTGAAAACATTAATATTAGTAAATTATTTAGCTAACAAATTTATATTTAACACTTTAAATGCATAAAAACGTAAGCGATTGGTTGCATGCTGAACTTCAGAGAATTTGGTTGAATCATTACTCTGGTGAATGAAATAGTCATTGATCCAAATGTCCAGTTATGATAATTAAAACCTGAATGGTTCACTTAAATATAATAATATCATATAAAAATAAATGTTCAGTACAGTTTATCATTACATACATCTATTTAATTAAAAAATATATAAAATCTAACATTTATTGGCAGCCTGTTTTTATTATCTTTCAGTATCTGACCATGTTTTTCGAAGATAAGAAATTTCACTATTGAACTACTTTATTGTGAATCCTTCGTTGTTACTTTGTATATGAATTGTATTGCAACGCACCCTATGACAGTAAGGGATATAGTTTAGAATCTCATAGATGGAAGCAATTTTTTCCCGATTTTAGATCTCCCTTGTTGAAAACGTGACAACTGGCACGAAACCTACCGATAGAAAGTTTAATCCTTTCCCTTCAACGCTTCACATACACTTTTTAGCATTGCTTGAAAAAGATAATAAATTTTTTTTAAAAGACATTAGTAAACAATTACTCACATCACTTGATTTACTGACAAAATTACTATTTCTCAATATGTAGTTATCATCGGTTTTTGTTCCATTCCTCTCATTTGAATTTTTCGCAAGTTCATAAATGTTATTCTTACTATCTTTTGTATTCACAGATACTTCATTTAATTGACAATGATTATAATATTCATCTTGTATTTTATCATTAATTGCATTGTGATGATTTGATACATTATTATTATTATCATAATTGAAATCTTCATCTAGCATCATATTATTAATTGTCTTGTAAACGCGATTTGTGAAGTTCTCAGCTGATGAAAAATTTAATGAACCTAGAACACGTATTGCTTTGATCGATGACAATAGATAATCAGATTGAGTTTTATCTATTTGCGTTTTGGTTAATAGCTTTATAAAAGGAAAATTAATAATATCCAATAGTATATACACAAAACCCGCAAAGAGTTTTAAAACAGAAATTAAAAACAGTTTCATAGATTTTAATTGGGATCATGAACCGATTAATGTTGGATCACTATTGAAAACCTGGAAGTACCACATGGTCGTTTCGTCCGAGTATGGAACACCTTAACAGCCCACCTCCAAGGTCCCGCACTCGGTAGTTTAAATCAAGACCTTTGGCCTCACACGCGAACGCTTAAACTATACACCACTGAGCCAGTATCCAACGGTGGTAATGTTTAACTTCAACCAATCCACGATATTTCGCGGTCGTCCTCCGTTATCTTCAGTAACTGCCTCACAAAGTCCTGGGTTCGAGTACAGAGTGCGGGATGGTGGATGTAGACTGCTGAGGAGTCCGATACCAGTACGAAACGAGCGTCTACTGTTTCCAGGTTTTCAGTGTTGATTTAACATTAACTAATTCATGATCTCAATTAAAAACTCAACAATCTCCACTATTTTCTAGTGGTAATTTCTTAGATGTCTCATGAGTACATTATATTATTTTTAAATAGTTATCGTTCATTGAAGTTTAGTGACACTAATCTGAGTCCATTTAGATTGGATGATGATTGTTATCGAAATATACGTACTGCCAATCCTCGCATACAATTATTGACTTAACTCGCGTTAGTGGATAACGGAATTAAATAAGTCAATTGAGAGGATAGACTGTGTATACGTATATTTCATACAGTCGTTGATCTGAACAGCCAATCAAAGAAACTCAGAGAAGGAAGCGAAGCGAAATGAAGTAACGCGCAGAGGAGAAGGCGAATGAGCCAACTTGATTTGATCAAGCGTAACTCAGTCAGATTAAAGACAAATTACTGACACATGATGAATAGAGTGAGTAATCAACACACGCAATCATATAAAAACAGTCGGGGTTAGTAAGTGAATAATCAACAAGGTCAAAATGTGACTTGAGAATAATGAATAAATTGGTCTGTTCAGAAGCTAGAATAACCTATGTAAGCTTGACATAAAACCAACCACTACAGAACGTCATTTACATTGTGAACTTGACATTATTCAAAGACTCAATAAGAACTATTGATCACCTAGAAAGCTGAACAGTAATAGTTTGGGATTTCTCATACTCTGAAAACATTCATATTTTTCATTGACCACGATATCTTTAAACCACTGCATTGACATCCAGCAGTGCATATTTTAAACCACAATATATTCGTGACAGTTCTATTTTCATGTTATCGACGATCTACTATTTATCGATTCGACCAACTAGAAAGTCAGTCACTGCTTCGATTCTCAAGCGATAGTAAACTATGGTAACAAGTAGTTCTTGAAATGTTACATAGATCTCGACAGTGCATTAAAAATTAACCACGATTTAGTCAGGTCATGACGGTAATAATTTAAGGAGCTACGATAAGTTACGGAGTACCATTACTCAACTTTAAAAGTATGCACTCTTCCAAGACAACTGATAAACACGCCTTTCAACTATGTGACTTTCTTCTGCGTAGTACATAGTGAAAGGTAAATTCGTAAACCAGTAAATATATTGGTAGGAAAAATAATACATAATAGATAAACGGACATGTATGACATTCTATTTGTGTATGTCGTTTCCTTAGAAAAAAAGAAAACATTTAATCGATTGGTATTTTAGACGTTTCTCTTCGATCTATTTTGGGCGTTCCCCTCCTATTATTTTTGTATTTTGTTGTTTGTTAAGAGAAATATTTTTATATATACATAACATACTATTGGGAAAAAAGTTACAAACAAATGAATTCAAGAATGGAATATTTGAATGATTTGTTCAACATGAAATCCATTTTCGTCATATGCGTTGGCCAAATGCAGCACGGGGATTATAGGTGTACAGAAGAATATTCTTTTCAATAAAATTTTTTCAGGTTCTACAATTATCTATCCAAATTACTAACCCAAAAAAAGTGGTCAGGTTTAGGGCAAAGTGCATTGTTTGAACTTGTAGCATGTTAAACAGTTTAAAATTGTTAATATTGAAATAACTCATATGTAACGTTAACTTGAATCAGCTTATATATTCAGTGAAATTTTAAAATTCATGATCGGGACAAATATGGGTCAGAAAAGGTGAGAGGAATAATAGTGCAATTACAAACAGGATCAAATGTTTAAAAGGCTATAATGTGCAAAAACTTTATATAAAATTAGTAAGGAATAATAAAGTCGGATGAATGCCAAATAAATAAATCGTGTATTCGGGAGACTAATAATGATTTGGAACCAAAATAAGAACGGTAATAATAATAATATAAAAATATGTGAATCAAGATAACAGATATTATATTTTAATAGTTTAATTCATGAGTCGATCTAGGCTAGGCCACCATTAAAAACCGGGGATCACTGGAAAGCCGTTTCGTCCTAGCTCCAAGTTGTATTTTCTAGAGTTCCAGTGAGAAGCCATGACCAGTGGAGTTCGATCCGTGTCCGGTGTGAAACAATTATGCGATTCAGATAATGGATAAAGAGTTGATCAAGATCATAGATCGATTGAATTTAGACATTAACACCGTTAAATACCGACACATTGGTCTAGAGGTTAAGTATTCACTCATGAGACCGAAGATCATAGGTTCGAGTCCCGTATTCAGGACCGTGGAAGTGTACTGCTGAAGAGTCCCATACTTGTACAAAACGACCGTCTATTGCTCTCAGGTTTTCGATGGTTTTCTAGCCAAGATTACTAATAATTGATTGACCGACCGCAGAGCTGGTGATCCAAGCTAAAAATCGATCTGTTTTAAGTTATAATTCTAACTAATGGCTTCCGTATCACCAATCCTGAATACTGAATATGCTAAGTGCTCAAACTACTTACCCTAGATAAATAACTTAAAATTTAAACCAGAATAACTATAATGCATCTTAGTTTCACTGATCAAATGTCTAATTAGAGATAAGATCTAACTTTCACCCTAGTTATTTTATTTGTGATTGTCATACTTTTGATCTAAGAAAAAATATGTTACAGAAGAAGAAAGGTTGAGAATATGTAGTGAAATACATTAAGGGTTACTGAGTTTTTCAGGATCAAAACGTGTGGAGACTTACATAATGAAACTATAATAATGAAAAGAGATTGATCAAATCTAAGAATAAACAATCTCTAGAAAGTTATAATTGCCAAAGTACCACTATGAATTATAATCCGTCATTAGTGTGTGAAATATGTTAATTGTTAAATTCTATCAATAATGAATATGAGAATGAGAGTGAACTTTTGAAAGATTAGTATTAAACATTGTATAGATCAAACGAAACATTCTTCTTGAGTTCGTTATATGATACTTATTCCATATGTTGTGTGTCTTTTATGAGTTTGTCGTTATGAGTAAAGAGACGTTTGACTGAAAAATCAAAGTTTCAATACACAAATTCCTAGGTCACTTCATCTTTTCCGTTTTCACTGTTGAGTAGTGTGCATTACCCAGAGTTTCTACTCAATTACCAGTTCATTTCATCGGTGAATGTTGACTATTACATTTAATTCTCATTAAAGGTTTTATTTCAGGCATAGAGGTTTCTCCCATAACTGTGTTCTATGAACATGGGACTATAGTACTTTATAACATATAAGACTGAAAGCATAAACATATTAAACTGAGAGCTTGAAACGAAATATCGAACGTAAATTATCTACTAATAAGCAACACTCATCCACTTAGTGGACGGATAAATTACCTACAGTGTTGTTTAAAACATGTTAATTGAACGTTGAAAATATAACGAACAAACTCAGCCAAAATCGACATTATTATTGGTTTACTTCTCATATTTTGTTTATTTGAGGGCACATATAATAGACTTAAACAACTTGATCGTCCATAATTTGATCTATCAGACATGAACAGCACCGGAAAACTTTATTGGGTGATCACTGAGTAGTAATCAATGATGTTCCTGTTTAATCCTTAGTATTAATCGATTTCTATCAATCAAGTCATGGTTACAGTTCTAATCGGCTTAACACTAGGGTCTGAACAAAAATGGAATGATTTCGGGCTATGGTTAAGTAGAGACTTATTTAACTTATAGATCGTATTCGTCTTAGAGTGACCTCATTTAAAGTACCACTGGAACTAAGACACACTAGATAGCTGTTACGTTCTAACCGAAACTCTTCAGAAAGAACACCCATGAATGAAAACTACAAATTAAGCTAAGCTATAATAGTTAGGTCGTTGTCACTTACCTCAAAATGTTCCTAAGGTTCTAGTAAAAAGTGAGAACTGATGGGATTCAAATACGTTGGGAATTGAAGTAGTTTTCACCAACAGCATTGTATGATCGTCCCACTGTATTCCATATTGATTGGATTAAAGATTGTATTCCTGGACTTTAACTCGGTGGTTTCAACAGTTAAATGTTCATCACTAGGCTTTAAAGTATTAAACCCTATCCCCAGTGGGGTTGTGGTTACCCATTGTAGAGAAGTCCCATACTAGATCAATGCAGTTGTCTAGTGCTCTTTTGTTTTTAATAGTACCCCAATTATGAAAAATCTGTGACGAATACTACTTAGAAACATGACATTAGTTACTATTCAGTGAATAATCCCCATAAATATTTTGTTCCTGCAGGAGAATAAAAAGCGCTAGTTAGTTGGATAACTATGCGATAGATTTCCGTAACTTAAATTTTTTGGGAAAAATATGTATAACAGTCACCGAATTCGAGTATTTGCAAATACATCAATAAACTAACCTAACATTGAATTAATAATTTATTCATAATAGATGTTTTTCAAAAATGCACAACAAATTATAAGTTGATGAGACTGTTAAGAAATACTAACTACGCGACTACATATGGAAAATGCACTATATTATACTAATGAAGCATAGAAAGAAAGCAACTATTTTCAGTTACAGGAATGACAAATTATTCTTAGGAAAACACTAAACAAATCACAATGCTGACATACGGAATTTGATGTACTGTATTTGTAAAGATTCAAAACCCAATACAAAATGAATTAAAACTTCACCCTATTGCACAAGATAGTGGATATCAGGACTCAATTGCTGAGTGTATAACGTGATGGAGTTTGACGCGAACAGTACTGGGTTCGAGTCCCAGAGTGAACATCAACTCTTAAACGCAGGTAAGTCCAGCTGAAGAGTCTCAAATAGGGCAAAACACGTGTCCTGAATTTCACTGCTGGCTACCATTTATCTCTATTTATTATGCTTGTGACTTAAGTCAATATCGAGGCAATCCGCGCAAGATGCTCATGTGCCGATAACAGATTGATTGATTTCAGTCCTAAACATCAATGAAAAGATACAAACAACCAATTCAAAATAAATTAATAACAAGTTAGCTTACTTCATAATGCTTATGAACATAAAGTTCTGTGCCTGAGATATTGCACAATTCCAGTAATTTGATACTTCGCTGTCTTTCCGTTAACACAATAAGACAAGAGATTAGACCAACTAACAGACCGTAAGTTACATCAAGTATGATAGTTCCCAGAAATGTTACAGTGAATAGAAACTGTTCAAAGAGAAAAAGATTGAACTTCCATGAAATAATGTGTTATCTGTCTTAATTTCATTTCGTAAGCAATTTAAACGTTGCACTTATTGTTTGTTAAATACACAATGTCGATCAACACGACATAAAGATATCAAATTAATTTTGTTATCTTTTGCAATCTGAGTGATTATTTTAATTGTTAATATGATATAATAGATAATATTGTAGCTCATGTTAAGGATTCTGATAGTGTTCTATTCGTTGAGCTGAATTTCTTGATCTTGGATTAATCATTGACTTTCTCAAGAATATCATTATCACACACTCCAGTAAGAAATAAATTACTAGAAAATTTCCAAAATCGTCTGAACTGCAATTTCGTCGGTTGCTTTTCATTGATATGTGGTCGTTATTCTAATGTTTTTCTTGGTCGTTTTCAACTATCATCTGATCGCTGATCTTTCAAATGTTTATCGTCTTCCTTATTGCTTGGTAGACTGAGTCGATTTCGATGTCTGTTTATTGATCTGTGGCCAGAATGTTAGAGTTATAGAAACCCTCTTGTTTTCTTTCTGTGTCCACTGTCCAATATTTTGACTTTTCCCCAATCGAAAGCATGTCGATAGTTGTCTACATGCATTGTTACAAGCGAAGCTATGTATTGGTGTTTAAAACCTAACTGATGTTCATGTAGAGTTAGATGGAGAGGGCAGTCACATTGTCGTGTGAAGTGTTGCAAAAAGTTGTTTCCATTTTTGTTGTATATGATGTTTAGTTTGTTTTTGTTTGTTCCTGTTTCCTTCGGTCTGCATACTTACCCCACCAGTCCTAGCAGCTAGAGCTTAACTTTTAGCTCATTGGGTCGAGACTCAGTGCTCTACTCACCAAACTTTATTCTGTTAGCTTCATTATGTAACCATATTCTAATACCACTGATGGACAACTGTCTCACATGTGAATTTTATTGATCACGTCTTCTTACTGAAACTACAAGATTAATCTCACAATTTTGTTACTAATGTGTACATTATTACTATTACTAAAGACGGTTTGCGAAGATTTCGACTAATATGAACTAAATTGATAACATAAAAAGTAACAGCCTTTTAACTAACCACTTAATGTAGTTTAATAGTCATTCATTTCACTTTTCTATAAATTTACAAGAATGAACAAGTTTATCAAAAGTAAATTATTTGTTAAGTGAACTAAGCTTTATATGTACATATAAATGAAAGACAACGTTGTGTTACTTACAAAATCTGGTTTATAAGTATTCCATAGATATGGTAGTTTCTTCGGTTGTGTCAAAATATTTTTCAATGCTACCACAATTATAGCAGATAAAATACACTGGAAACAAAAATACAATTATGAATAATGATCCAATGCTTTTTTTATGGTTTATTTCTGTGTTTACTTTTTGTTTTTAAATATACATTACCGCAATGACCAGATTCTCACAGGATATGGGCTTCCACAACTAATGTCGACATATTGTAGAGATCCCCAGTGCAACAATAGTTTAGACAGTAACTAGCAGTGGAATCTAAAAATCTGAGTTTTGTTTCATTCGTGGTTCATCTAATTGTTTTACGGGAGTCTCATTGTGCATGTTCCTATTGAGTTTTAAGCATTGTAAAATTCACTTTAAATGCCAAGGAGTTATGCATTACGCAGTAGAATCACGATAATCACCGGATTATTTAGTGAATATTATATTTTAATATTTGTAACATCAATTCATCAAGGCACTGCTTTCATACAAGTACATATGACTGACGAGTCTTGAATAAAAGAAAAGAAGTTTTTTAAATTCCACTGTCATAATACAAAAACTTTTTTTCATTGAGTTGAATACATTATTGAAATAATCAGTATTTAGTTCCAATTGTTTCTTGAAGAGAAATATTTCGGTTTACTTGCAATAATGTAAATCGATGAAGTATGAAGTTGACTAATGTGGAAGTCGAAATTGCGGTACCCTATTCGTGTAAAAAGTAACTTGTTATCTAACATATCATGTGAAAAAGTTTTAAGTCAACAACTATTGTTCTGTTCGTGGGTTATGAAACAGTTATGCTATAAACAAACAATATGTGTATACACTGTGATATTTTATAGATAACAACAACAAACCTTTCAAGATTAGTCATGTTCCGTAAGTAATTTACTACATTTAATAAAATATCCCAAAGAATTTCGAATTTAATTTAATGAATTGCATCTATGAAATAGATTATCTTCTGGAAAACTCTTCGAAAATGAATAGTTCTCAATAATTTAATTATTGTATATTTTTTAAGATAAGCCATGAAATGGTTGATAAGTCTGGATATCGCTTAAAAATTCTCACCTTATTAAAACACAGATACATGAACGAAGTATATTTTTTTCAATAATTTCTCTTCTAGTTCTATAATTATATATCCAAATTAATAATCCATAAAATAAAAGCCTTAAGGCAAAGGCTTTTATTTTAAATTATAGAATGTGAATTTGGGATTGTTTGTAACATAAAATAAATTTAAACTTAAATCGTCAGACATCACATCTAGTCCCGACCTCCGGTCAAGAACTTGAATGTTTCAAATCAAATCTAGTTGATTGCTGCTATCAGTTTAAGAACAGTAGATATAACTACAAAAGCATTTTAACTAAAAAACGTGGGGCTATTAATGAACTTATTATTGATAAAAATTTGTTTATTACGAAACCTGTTAAAGGAAGAGAAACTGTCCTACTTAACAAAAAAGACTATATTGACAAGATGAAAAACATCTTGACTGATTATCTAAAATACCAGAAACCGAAGGACTGAAAAGATATCAGTAATAAGTTAGAGAATGAATTGACCAGATCTTTAAAAAAATTCAGAGTACAACAGGTAATTCCATCAAACATATGCGAAACAATTAAACCGATATGTACCCATTTACTTAGGTTATACGAACCAGCGAATGTACACAAGACCAATTTTGGATATGTACAATTCTTCATATCATACTGTAGCAAAGTGGTTAGTAACCATTTTAAAATTACTCCACAAACACCTAGTAAAGCATAGTATTAATGATGCATTCCAGTTCATCTACAAGACCGAAAACATATACTCTAAAGGATAAACGATGAAACCTGTGGAGATAATCAAGGAATTTTTGCTAAAAATGTAAACTTCAAATTAAAAATTTGTAGACAAATGGGTGATTTCGCGATGAGTTCACTACTAGGTCCCATATTGGCTGACATTTTTCTCACCAAACTACAAAACGGTCCACTGGCACAGCAAACTGGCAAGTTTTTCATTTTATTGCCGATATATGGACGATGCATTCATCCTTTGTAACGACCATACTGACCTGATAGAAACACTTGAGTGACTTAATGAAGTTTATCCGTCTATAAAATTCACACGTGAGGAGGAAAATAGAGACAGAATAGTCTTTCTAGATGTTCTACTTACAATGAGAACAGATGGATCACTAAGAACAAACTTAAACAAGAAAACTACTTGGACTAGTCAATAAACAAATTTTTATATTTTTATTTCTTTACAATAAAAAGTCAACCTGATTAAGATACTTCATTACAGAATCAAGACCATTTGCTTCCTAAATGCGGTTGAAGAGGAAACAAAGGCATAGTGTACTACATTGAAAGAAAATGGGTATCCGGAGAAATTCATAAATAAACATTTAGCCGAGAAAAGAGAGCATAAGGATTCTCTAACTGCGAGTAGAAAGTCACTGTATATGCGCTTACAATTTAGAGACGATGCATTCAGTGAAATGCTAATACTAAAGTTGAATAGAGTAATACAAAGAACTTTTAATGCACGTAAACTACAACTTTCTACACATCCTATGATCACTTTGAAATTGAAATATAAATTACCTAGACTAGCCATTTCTTCCTGTATCTGTCAATTCAACTGCTCCTGTGTAACGAGTTATACTGGCAGGTGTTCTAGGGATTTGTATTTTCATGGTAAAAACGGGCCATAAAGCCAACATGGAGCAATCAATCATATAATCTCTTATAAAAACGGAACTTACTGTTTTGATAATCCTTTAGTTAACAGTTTAATGGGAAATCTATGGAAGTGATTTGATTCCTAAATACTACCAACCAAACTTACTTCATGAAGCCTAATAACCCATGAAATTCTCTTTCACTCTTTGTCAGGTGATGCGAAACTAAGAACCGATTACGAATATTTATGGGTCAGTGTACTTTGCATTCCTGAAAAAAATGAGGACGACATCCAAACAAATCCGATACCACACAATTCACCTTTGAGAGGTGGTCCTTAATTATTTAATCAACAAACCAACAAAATATTTTTTAAGAGTTAAGCTGAATATTCACAAATACATAAAACAGAGTTGATCTGCTATCATATGTATACAAATAATAGCTTTCAGATAAACAACCACTGAAAATCAGGATAGTCGTTTCATTATATTATGTGAATCCTCATTAGTGCTCATCCAAGAACCAGCTTATAGCAAACGCTTCCAATGGCTGATCTATCTGACTTCAATCAATTTACGAAAAGAGTCCCGGATTTTTAGTACCCAGTGGAGTTCAGAAGAGTTGGATGTAATGCAGTTACTCACTAAAGACAATAGAAAGTAGTTGTTCAATATATTGAACATATTGAAGTAAGACACATTAATCACTGAGTGAGAATTTTGTAATATAAAGACTAGGCTGCTAAAGGTCCCGGGTTCGTCTCTTTGTGGTAGGATCATGATTGTTCACTGCCGAAAAGTCAAATACCAAGACGAAACGGCTGTTAAGTACCTCCGGGTTTTTATTATTTATTTAACTTAGGCTGCTTCTTGATCTTAGTGACATTCAGTAATCTTCATAAATTTCCATACTGATTAGAACCATATTGATGTCAAAATTTTTAAGTTACATGATAAAGTGTCTGTAATATTTAAGGTACTACTATTAACAAAGTACATGCTAAATACTCGAACTCACTGATGGAGTTGCTTCAAAATACGGGCCCAAAAATAATAGCACAAATACAATCAACATTGAACTGAATATACCTGATAGCTGCAAAATAAAAGTAAGTAGATATTTACAGTTAAATTATCCTGAAGAGTACGATCTAAATTTGAAATTTTATTTGAAGTACTCGCCTCATTACGTTGCTACCATTACCATTAAACATAAAAATAAATTCTCTAATAAATGTCAATTATTTCAATAACAGACGTATAAATTAATAAGTTTATTTAGCAAACCTACTGATGACGGAGCATACATGTCAAAAAGCATTATACATGAATTTTGAAATAAACTTTCAATGACGAGTGGTTGAAGAAAACCTGTAGTAAAGCTTGGATATTAATATTAAACTAATTGATACTAGTCATTATTGCCTATTTGCAGTTTTAAGGGATCTTATTTTGTCTTTTGGATTCATAACGGTATCATTAAATCTCTAGACCAGAGACGCCACCACCGTGCTAGTAAGACTTCAACTGAACTCGTAGAAGATGTTTACACTGATCAGTCTTAGTTAGCTGTAGGTAATCAACAGGAAATCCAAGACCTTAGTCTAGTATTATTGACACTCATCAGTAAGGCTCACCCGCAGTCATGAAGAAACTCATGCTCCCTGTGAGATACAAACACACGTCATTTGGATTCATAGTTTGAGATCTACCATTGAGCTTCTATGGCAGTGACTGATCCCCTAAATAAATTGTCTACTAATTAATCATTTAATAATCGATAACTTCATGTTTTGTGATTTCTAATTCAGATCAAGTTTTATGCGTTGAGTTAAAGTATGAGCACTTTGCTAAATAATATAATATCACATTGCAGTTTGTCCAATATTTGATCATTTCATCTTATATATGTTAACCATGTAAATCCGTTTGAGGTCTTGATGAAATAAGATTTGTTTAAAAAAAAACAATCGGACTAAAATACATACAGACAAATTAAAATATTAAAAAAACATTTTGTGGTCATGTTTTATGAGAAAAGAGAGAAAAGAAGGTAATGATAATGAAGAAGGATGGAAAATGAATCAATGAATTACTCACCGGTGTTCTGGTTTTTGTTCCCGCTAATACCATACTACGAGAAAGACTTCCAGATTGAACGAAACAAGAGAAAAATGATGTAAATGTATTTATAATACCGAGTGATAAGATTTCCTGAAAGGGAAAAATTATATATATTCAAAGAAATTACAAACCAAGAGTGTATAGGTAGGCGACTTTACCAGAAAATCTAACGAGTTATTATTATCTCGTCAGGAATATATGAACATGATGATAATAAAAATCCATGGTAGAATTAGGTAAGATAACGATTATGAAATTATCAAACTTCTATTTTAACTAGACTAATAGGGATTTCTAGAGTAGTAAAATATCCTATTCAAATGTAACGGGAAATGTTAAGTAAATAAATTGTTATATGCCAAAAAATTTCCGGAGTTAGCGTATATACTTAGTAAGTTGAGGTACACTTTGTCATTTAGTTCATGGATCGAATGGAAAGTTTGATATCTTCAGAATATTATTCGCTGTTATTAGCAGATGGTAGTAATCGAATCCTAACTATTTTTACTGATTACTTCATTTTAAGGTGATATCTATCATAAAATATCAAAGGCTTATACAGATTACCTGAAATGAATATAACGTTAATGAAACAAAAATCAGGTTATATATATGCACACAAATATGGCTTAACTGAATCATCGATAAAACTTTACACTTTAAAGCCAGTCATTTAGTCATGAGTAATGTAGAACATGACATATACATGGATCGACTCAAGTTACATGTACCATATAACCACATCTAGATAAAATTATCAGACCGAATTTCAGTCATATAAGTAGTAACATTATTATTCGTAGTAGAAGAAAGTGAACATAAACAGTATGACTAGAACAAAGAATAAGATCGCGGGAAAAAGTAGAACTTTTATGATAAAGTGCGAGTTAATGTCTATAACCATTGGTTATGATGATCACAAGTAGTCTATACCTACCCATGTGGCTTAACTCAACAGTATGTGACTTCATGGGCTAATGACGTCTTGTTTTGGTGCTTTACATATAAAGAAAATTACGAGTTCTCGTCTGAATCATTGTAATACTTAAATTGCTCGAATACAAGCAATACTAAATATACGACCAGTAATTGTGTAGTTTGTTTGACAAATGGTGTCCTTAAAATAAATCTCTATACCTTTTCAGCTTCAGTTCCTAAACTTATTGATCAGATAGCATAAAAATTGATCCGGAAATTACTTGTTATTGTTCAAATTTAAGTTTATTTAATACTGACATGTTTCACAGAAGGCTTGGTGTTGTTTCTAAAACTAATAAATAAATTTTTTGTAAGGGTTAGTATTTTCCCGTTGTTGATGTGATGTACCTAAACTGGTCAGCCTCTACATGTTTATGTGCATCCCAATAGGATTGCTTTGATATTATCATATATTCACAGGATTTTATTAAAGCTAGTTAATAGCTAGGATCGGGATCCGGGATTCACGTTTATCTCTTTCAGTACGCGTCAGGTGGATGCACTTGATTTCACTATGTTGTCTACACGTAATTGTTCAGTTCTGAAATGCCTCTCGATCACAGACTAACATTCTGTTGTGAGAAACTCTTGAAAATTAGTGAATAAGCCAGTATTTAATTACATTTAAAACTGAAAACTTTAAAACAAGAATGAAACAGTTGTCTAGTGTTTTCTTGTAAAGAAAGCTAAACAATCAGATGAAAATCAAGCATTGATTGGTGAATAAATCAAGAAACGAATTAAGTAGAGAGATTCTGCTAAAAGTATAGTAAATTCAGTCAATAATATAGATGAAAATAAGATCAATAGTCATCAAAATACAAGTCGGTGACTGAGAGATCATGGTTTGACAGTTAATCAATTCTTATCTGAAAGACATCTAAAAATCTCAACTTTAACGTACTTGTACACTTGAAAAGAAAAACATATAGATACCTGTAACTATGCACAAAATCACATATTCTTTATATTATATTTCGACTTACATGATTAAAATTAACTTTATTTCTGTACTTTAAAGAGAATAATTTAACTAAGGAAACTGACAGGAACGTACTAACAAATCCAATTAGAAGAGCATCTGGAATTAAATCTGGAATTATGCTCCAATGGGGTGCTGTTACTTGTGGCATTCTATCAGTTGTGAGAGGGAGGAAATGAAAAGCAATACATGAACCCACTATATTATAGCAGATGAATACGTTATATAGATTTTAAATGATCATAAGAACGAATTTGTAGTGATCAAATTAAACTGTTAGTGTAATGTAATTTTTGGAGTCATTGGAAACAAGGGAACGTCGAACAGTTGTCTCACTCCTATATGAGATTCCTCAAAAGTACGAGGAGTCGTCAGAATACTACTTAAAAAAATCGACTGAACTCTAAAGATACTTCGACCACTTAATAACCTTATGATCACTAGTTACTAGTTTCATGATGAAATCCTCAAATTCTAGTGGGGTAGCCATGACCAAATGAGTTTAATTATCTAGGGGATAGAACTATAATCACACAGTATTAAATAAGCATTAAGTTATAATGTCAGTCGATTGAAGGTTAAAGCATATCGCATTGGTTACGAACTTAGTCGTCTAAGCGTAATGTTCTCAACGTTAGATATGAAGTTTTTTCATTCTACTTATGGAGATGTCTTAACAAGACTCTACCCAGGAGCCCCATACTAGAACAAAACAGTTGTAAAGTGACTTATGGTTTTAAGTACAGCCTAAACTAATGTCCATCAATGGTAAATACCTTTAGCAAGTTTGCACGTCTGCACGAGCATATGTATAATTTGTAATATGAATTTTTCGTTAAATTATCTTTATGGTTGATATTGTTAATTTTGAATAAGCAATATTTCAGTGTTATCATTCTGGTGTTCTTCTGCTATCTACATCTCACTTTGGAGAATACCTTCATTTCCATACATAGAAATAATCACAGCGATATATATATATATATATATATATATATATATATATATATATATATATATATATATATATATATATATATATATATTACGTTCTCTGAAATGGATGGTTTGATCATGAATCAATTATTGTTTTTCTAAATGTCATCAATTGTAAATCAGTTATACAACTCATTAATCATTAAAGCATTCATTTTTCGGGAAATCGACCTTAGTTTGGAGATTACAACATATTAAGGGTAATTCAATTCATGAGCTGTATCTTAATTAGAATACCTTGAGACATAGTAGTATGTAAAATTAAGTATCAAGCCTTAAGCGATATGAATTTCTTTTAAATTGTCATATATCTGTTGGTTACACAAATTCGTAAGTCCGGAGAAGTACAAAACTAATTGAACACTGAATTTAACTAGTTTCATTTAAATCCCTATTGTAAATCAGAAGTACTTTTCTGTCTGAAATGATATATAATGAAATTATTTCAGTATCTTTATTTGTATTTCACTCTGATAATAATAAAAACGCACTAAAATTGGTAAGCTATATCATAGTTTAAGTATTTTCTTTTCATATTCTTCCAAGTCTCTTAACTTCATTTACTAATCACATAGTAGTGAGCCACAGTCAATGTTTCAGAATTGTGTATTGAAGAGTATATAATTTTTATGTTAACCTTATTATTTGTGTCATCTACTCAGTATAATGTTACTTTTTTCCACGTCCAAAGAAACAGTCTCCAACCGTTTTAATACGGATTATGAACGCTATTAACAGGGTGCATGTAACCTATATAATGATCGTCATGTATTGAATTGAGTTTTACAAACCCTCACAGTTGTTTTATTAAGGGTATTAAATCCACACATAAAACTCCAGAAGTTTTTGTTTTTAGATTTAAATCACTCTATGGAGTCGGTCGAAAATTAATGAAAATATTTCAAAATACAAAATCTCTTGTAGATTTGTTATTGAATACATTCAACTATGTACTTACCCGCTCGCGATATATCCTACAATTGAAACATTCTTAGTAGAGTGTAAATTTAATGTACCAGAGATTATAGTGCCTAAAGCAACCTGATATGAGAGGTGAAAATGAATTGTGATTAGATTGCTTTGAAAGAAAACAGTAAACTAACAAGCAATTCAGTAATAAATGTCGTTAATCAAAGTACATTGTACAAGAATATTACAGCGTACATCTAGTTTACTGGCGTTTAGACAATCAATATCAGTCTCATTAGTTTAAAATAGTCCAATTCATGTATTAATATTCATAATGGAAATTAAAATTTTTCTCAAAGATCTCAACGTCAACTATATTTAAGTAATACAAAATTATCTCGATTATTTGCCACGTTTCGCATAATTAGAAAACGTTACGATGACCTAGTAGTGGTTTTTAGTTTAAAGTATCTCTGAATCAAGTATTTATTACTTGCTTGAACTTACTTTCAGCTAATTGAGTCATTAGCAGATATATAAATTGAACATTAAATACGAACGTGAAAATTGATTTTCTATTATGTAAATGGTCATCTTTTCAACTTAAATACGGTTTTGTTCTGGAATAAAAATTAACAAAGGGAACAATAAAATTGTATATTCTTCGCCATTATTCGAAACCTCCTATCCTCCAACAATCTTAAAATAAATTGAACCCCAGAACCTTGAAGTGTTGAGAAGAAGAGTCGAAATGAGATTGAAAAACAAGGAAAACTACTTTTGGAAAAGTTAATTACTATGTTTTCAATGTGTTTTTATTAAAATTATGGTTCATATTTATTGCAGTAAGTACTCGACAACCAAGACAGCCACACTCTTTTTAAAAGCATAATTTCGATTTTAATTAATTTGGTATATCGCTCAGTGTTAGTTCAATAATATCGATAACAATCATTTCACTCCTGAAATATCAGAACTCCACTAGTCAAAATTTCTCACTGGGACTTTAACAACATCTTGAAGTGAATTGACTATCACTGTTTGAGTGGAGCTTCCTCATAGAGACTGATTTAATTTGTGTGTTGTATGAGTACAGAACTCAGTATTATTAGTGTGGGTAAAATTTACAACTCCAGATTCATATTTTCAATCTTTCGCATTACTTCGATAAGAAAAGCGTTACAATACTTAAAATAGGTGGCAAAAACCTTTATCCTTTTGGTTATTTCATCATATTTTTATTGAATTTAAGAAAAGTAATCCTCATGAATTATGATTACTTATTTGTATTGAGTAAGTAGTAAATTAATACTCTGTTCAAAAATCGATTTTGTAATAAGTTACGAAGTTTAAACAGAAATCAGATGACTATGGTCGTTGGATATTGTTATTGATCATGAGCGTGAATAATAATTTATGTTGAGGTATCTATGGGTCTATTATTTTCCTCTGTTTTTATATACACTACACTTAACTCTTTTATAGTGTGCTTTTCTTAAAATTGACCTTTGCGTACTGTTGATATATGAAGAAACCTAGTAGATACAATCTAGAGATCAATACAAAACAGCGTTGTCTAGATCTACAGTAAGGATTTCATAACTAAAATATCTGTCTCACAGTACACAACACAGTTAAACGTTTCAGATTTGTTTGAACACAGTAAAATGATAATTAATTTGATTAAAAAAATGACAAACATTTACCAAAATCAATTCACTAGGTATTGGAATCTTCAAATCTATATATCGTTTCAATAGGGGTTCAACACAAAATTTAACGATCATTAAGAACGCAATCGATGCAGCAGATATAAGTAGTGTGAACAAATTTGTCTCACGTATATTTTTGAACAAATTCACATAGACCTGGAATAGTAAACGATACATGTGTACATTCGATATATTAAACAGGGAATTGATTTACCAAATATATCAAAGTAAGCATTTATTTTGAGTTTAAGACTTAGTTGTGAACTCAACCTGTTACGTCTCAGTGACCAATCAATTGTAAACATCTCAGTCCTACAGGGGGTCAGTCGTCGCTTGAATAAATCAGTGGTTACGTCTCAAACTGTGGTGTTAGGTGATGCGGGTTCGAGTACTACGGAAAACATTAATTCTCTTAAGATTGCAAGCATGTCTCACTGGTGAGTCCTAACTAGTACTAAATTTATATTCATAGTTTCCTAGCGACTACCTCCAATTACTTAACAACTGAGTTGGATAGAAATATTTGATACTAATACATTATGATGACAATCATAAATGACATTTCTTTGAGACTAATCAAAAAGTTTATTCTTAAATCAAATACACTTGTTATCAAATGCATTCGCGTATAACATTAATCTAGCAGCATCGAAAAACTGTTGAAACTAAATAAATATAGTGTAAAATACTTTAAAACGTATAACTATTGAAATACTGACCGATAAAGAAAGATAATAAACAACCCTGTATTTCAAATAAAACTGAGTGTTGGAGTTGCTAAATCCTTAAATATAACATAATATAGAAATGCGAATCGATCAGATTTATTTGAAGTGATTTCCATATAGTTCTTTCAGTATTAATTATTTCAACAGGTATTTTGTTTTTTCGGTGTTCAATGCATTTTCATTTCCGTTGCTTCATTCAGTGTGATTTTTCATCCAAGTAATAGTTGATCGACATGTGGAATTCTTTAACTAACATTCATTCAAAATTTTATTTTAAACAGTTGAAGTTGTCTTCAGCTATTTTTCATGAACATACACCGTATAAAACAACCTAACGTATTGGATGGAAACTACAAATATAGTGAAAGCCAAGACTTGGGATGAACTTTTCAAGAACAATGACCCTAATACGCAACACTTACTCAATAGGTGAACGGAAAAGTAACTGGAAGTGTAATGTATAGCACAAATAAGGAGTAAAACCCCAAAGCAAATAATCGTTTCAATAAAAATGATTTCTACGGACTTTGTATGACGTTATGGATTCATACTGCTGTCCAGTATTTCCTAACTTCCAGTAACTCCATAGAAAATTTGAAAAGTTTTCAGAGTACAGAATACTAAAAAGAAGAAAGGCCCATAGGCGATAAATAAATCCTGACCTGACTGCTATGTATTACTAGAAAAATTATGCGATCAATTCTCAAGTTTTAGGTTACAGATTATAGCCTAATTCTTATTTCTTGATTTAAAATCAACCTGTAGTTATGATAAAAATGTTCATTTCAACTGTCTCTATTGACAAGAAAATAGTAGTCAGGCAAAAAGATAAAAGAAAAGTATGGCCGATGTTACGTAATAAGTTTATAAAATTTATAAGTAAAACCAAAAGAATGGAATTTTCTTCAAAATCTCATCACTTTTTTCAACCTGATTACTAGATCTTGTTTATAAATGTCAACATCATTCACCATACAAGTTATATATTATCTCGAACCTACATGATTTGGTAATATGGCAAGCATTTCAACTCCCATACAAAGCGAATTATAAAAATCTATCATAAACAATCATAGGTAATAAAAGTTATTACATTTTTCCTGCTCAATATGTGTGGTACTGGCTTAAATCAGGTGCATTCATACAATTTGAAGTTAAACCCTGTCTACTTGAACAATGAATCACTAAGCTTATTACCTGAAATTGTTCAAACAAACTGCATAGAGACATTCTTTGACAGAGAATATCTGCTTGAAATATACATGGAACCCAACTAACGATTTTGACTGGTGTCACCACTATCCTGAAAAGAGTTATATGGTGTGATTTTCGATTAGTTAACTGATTAGTACCTAATGTGACCTTACTTCCGGCATTCCAGCATTATAGCTAATGTGACGAAAGCTCTGATTCGAATTTCTAACGGTTACTTTTAACCCCAAGTCTTATTCTTAATTCTTTACGCTACTTGATAACGTCTTTATGCCTTAATAGGTGGTTGGAGTATCTCAAGGTGACTTTCATATCACTCAAACGTTGTCGGGAAATTCTAGTCTTGCAGACCGGTGACATTAAGATATTAGCCTTTAAATGAACATCAACATATATGAAGCGTGTAAATAACCCCATTTGATATATATATATATATATATATATATATATATATATATATATATATATATATATAACAATCAGTACTGATAATGTTTAAATTAATTACAAGAAATGACCATAAAGGTGACTAAATAAACAGTTTTAACAGTAGTTGTTTTCACTTATGGAAACAATTATGTTTAGTCTAATTAAAAAGAATGTAATTAACAAATTACAGTGTAGTCCATGCAGATGACCCTAGAAATCAATTCGCTAATAAATAAACATCTCCGTGAATATACTCGAAACATATTAATACTTGTTTTGAATTTTATACAAAAATCAATTAGTTCTTTACTACAAACAATCAAATAAACCAATGCAATAAATACACAAAGTAGTTTATATAGCCATAGACTATTTGTTGGTCATAATTTGTGATACGTTTATAAGAAACTTTTATGAAAATAAAAATGTCAAACAAATAACAGAATTTATTTTTTGAGGATTATTGAGACTAGTTTAACTTGTTGAAGGGGTCTTGTCACATAAGATAGATCCCACTAGTGATTAATTTTGAGATAGGCTTTTAAGTTTTATAGTGAAAAATTGTAATTTCTAAAGTCTATTTATGTAGACTTAGTGAAAATAAAGTTATCTGACTAGACAGGTATGTAAGTATGACTATTTTTTCAGTAAACATCTATGTAATATATACATTTAATAAATAACAAACATTTATAAACAGTTCACAAGTAGTCACATTTACAATTTTGGTTAACATTAAATGCACGGCCATTTTTTTATTTTATTTTTTCGAGTGAAACTTTTTTTCGTCCCATTCGAAAAAATTTTTCATCCCCATCTTCCAATAATTTTCATTCTGTTCCGTCCGATCAAATAGCTAGTTTTGAGTTCGTTATAATTGGTCGTTTATTTCTTAAACTTGATATAAAATGTCAGGACCTGACGACAGAGCACATTTTCTTCCAATTACTGCTGATGGAAGTGCCTGAATTTTTTGTCCATGCGAAGCAATGTTTCATTTATTTTGTGTTTACGACCCATCACCACTTGCCTATGGAATTCTCTATCCCATATGCGGCGCTATAACGGAATCATTGCAACGCCTTTGTTCATGAAATTCGGAACTGTTAAGAGAACGAGTAAAGGCCCTTTTTAGGGCCGTAAGCACAAAATAAATGAAACATTGCTTCGCATGAACAAAAAATTCAGGCACTTCCATCAGCAAATATCACAAAGTCTGTTGTCATACGCGTTTTCGTCGTCTCGTCCAGTGAACTCCTCTGAGTTAATCGAAACAATTTCTTCTTCGTCATTGCTTAACGTTGCATCCATATCAACGTTATTCTGATAGTTGGTAACTCACAAAAGATGAAGGAAGGACAGTGAGTGTTCAGGGAAGTCCTTTATGAAAAATTATAATAACACTAATCAAATTACCTCATTCGTCTACTCGTCTGTGAGGAACCGCTAGGTGTTCTAAGACCATTTCTCCAACATACGTATTTAATATACGGCTTCCGATCTCTATGGAAATGAGAATCTCTCACCACATAATGGCAGTACGTAACTCTTTCATAAGTTCTAACGGCGCTCTTCAAGTGATTGAGACGCTACGAGATACAATGTGCTCAAGTATAGGTTATCGGTTTCTGTGACAACGTGGAGAACGACAGAGCTCGTGCTTTGCACCTTACTACCGCCCGTAATTGGAAGAAAATGTGCTCTGTCGTCAGGTCCTGACATTTCATATCAAGTTTAAGAAATAAACGACCAATTATAACGAACTCAAAACTAGCTATTTGATCGGACGGAACAGAATGAAAATTATTGGAAGATGGGGATGAAAAATTTTTTCGAATGGGACGAAAAAAAGTTTCACTCGAAAAAATAAAATAAAAAAATGGCCGTGCATTTAATGTTAACCATGTGGGCTTGACATGGTGCCAACCTCTACTCCATAATACTCAAATTTAGTGGACTGTATTTTTCAAATCTGATCACTATATGTAGTCAATCAAACCACATGTGTATAGAAAGATATTCTGGTCTAATATTAGTAAAAACTAGGAAGCATTAGAGTTCAACCATGTTCGGTATCAGGAAGTTACTCACTGTTAGCATCGGAAGATAGGTGCCTAATATCGCTAATTGATTGAAGTTAGAAATAGAAATTACTAAATAGAGGCCCAGTGACTCAAGTTTTAAGCACTTATATAAACATTTGGAGGTCCTGGACTAGATCTCAAATGAGATCGTGGGTGTAGACAGGTAAACACAAAAGAGCTATCCAATGCTTTTTAGTTTATAATGATTGTTTAGTAAGAATCAGTTAGTAGTCTAAGCTACGAAGAAGTTCTATCAGAACATTTTGGAAAACGAATCGAAAATTTGAAGAAAACATACTTTAAATTCAGCTAAAGACTAAAGTCATTTGATGGAAAAACATTGAATGTAATTTTAAAGACTGAAAACGATAACAAAGACAATACGCAAAAAGTTTATATTCTAATGAATCTTGGATGATCTGTTTTTAAAACTTGTGAATATTTATAGCGTAGTTCAAAAAATAAAATGTATTATATAATTTACTCAGATCACTTTTTGTACATTCCCATCACAATGCCTCTGAAAGCCTATGTGATATACCGTAAAACCAAACGTTCCTGAAATTTGGTTGTTTTCACTACGAACTGATGGTAACCGGCGAAGCTTTAGAAACCCGGATGTACTGAACAGTTGATTTATCCTAGTTTGAGACTCTTCAGCCCAACAAATATAATTTAATGACACAGTAAGAGTAGATGACAGATACATAGTTCCTCCATTGTCAAACCAGGCCATAAGACTGACCTTTATCCATCCTTTATCGTTTTGCATAAAAGTTGTATAGGCTGAATATTCAGAATTTTTGAATCCTTAGCCAAACGCGAGTCCACCGCCCCTTATGTTCAGAAATAATTTATACTCGTACTAAAACTAACCCCTTGCAATACTGATTTATTATTCAGAATAACGTTATTCATATTTTATTTCACACTATTATTTCTTATGTTCCAATTTGTCCCACCATAAACGAGTAATGGTTACGAAGCATCTATAACTAAACATCAATAGATTACAAATGTCTTCTAAATTTTAAAGTAGAGATTTCTTTCTCCACTAACCTAACAGGTTTGATATTTAGAATTAGTGATCAACAATTTCTGCAACTCTTATATACTAAAAACGGAAATGGTTTACTTTGTAATATTCCAATGAATAGGGAACATAAATTTTCAATGTTTTGCAACAAATTTACATCGAAAAGAAATAACTTTTATCGGTGTTAACATAATCTTAAGTAGTAAATACAAGAAATCGGAATAAATAATCAACCACTAATAAGAGGTCAAAATAAGCTACAATTATGTCTGTCAAACAGTTTGGTTTATTACACTTCTGTCTATCATACAATGGGCAAATAATGGGCATGAGATACTGTAATGAATGTTAGACGATCATTAATCTAAATTTATCCTCTTGATATAGTATAGTCATGTTCAGATTAAACATAATCTAAGTAAACAGAATTTCAAGAAATAGACGAATTCCACCCTGTATTTTTGTAAAAATTGGGCGTTTATGTAATGTTAGTCTGACATTGACGTCTAATAACTAAGGCAGATGAGTGAATATTATCATTTTATATGAAAAGGTATAAAATTTGTAGCTCGGCTAGTATATTTGTACTCCACCATTCATTTTTGTCTTCTATCTATTCCAAAAGGGCACAAATGAGTGTGTATCATTCAATCAACAATCCACTATTGCGAGACAATCATTACGAGGATTATTACAATTATTGGTAAAATTATAATTCAGAGAAAAATTTAAAATAGCCTCGATGAATTTGCAGTTAGTTTTAGCCAGGCAACAAAACAGCTTTTGTAAATGAATAGTTTGTGGGAAAAAATAATATTGAGAATCGTAAAGTGATCTTATATAATCAAAGAATCTATTAAAGTCCTCTACAGGTCACTGTAACTTGAAATAAAAAAGTGACATATAAATTTCTCCATATGGACATACATTCTCCATCCTCTCGAACCTTTAAATGGACTCAAATAGATTTTCGAGAGTCCATGCATCTAGGCTATTCAAGGTTAGGTATATATGGTTACCAATAGACGCTTAAGGTTAGTATTTACATTATGAACTCATGTCAGCTATAATCTAAAAGTACTCTGTAGTCATTTGGTTGCACGAACTTTCCTCGAAAATTCCAGAGGCGTTATATGAATAGTTCGTCTAAAAAGTATAGTGACACCAGACTAAGATTTGTTTCATAATTAATGGTTTAGGGTTAGAATTTAAGGAAAGTGTCACTTAAAAACCTAAGAGTTGTATTCTCGACTCCGATTTTCTCGTCTCTCTATGGTACTGTTACTGTTCACATAATCAAACTATAAGACGGAGTCCACTAATTACGAGTATGCCTTACCCCTGCCTGGCTAATAACCTTTGCTCCAACCAATAACATGAATAATCAACAACAAACGACTGTAAGCGAAGGCCTCAAAAATCCTTGTTCCTACTGGACCAAAGAAATTCAATCCTTAATAGTCAGTCAGGGGACGAACACAATAAGCCAATGAATTATTTATTATTGCTTATTTATAATGGCTCAAAAACCCACAGATTTATGAGCATGAACATACTGCAACACAAGTAACAAACCATAGTTGTGCACACCCATGTATACGTGATATAAAACAGAACAATAATTCTTGACGAGAAAAACATATATCTAGCGTCCACACCTATTGGTCTGTAATGATTTAGAGAATTTTCATCATATGTGAGTGACAGTTGATATAATAAAACAAAAATACTAAACTTCATTCATGATATGATCATCAATCTGATGATATAAATGACTCAAATTGAAAAGTTTGTTAACTAACCATAAAAAATGAACCAGGTCCTTGATATTTCTTTGCAGACTTCACACCGAACAATGAACTAATCTGACTGCTTAACACATGAAAACCTGCGCCCGATGTATAACCAGATACCATTGATGGCGCTAAATATGACGTAAATGTACCCAATTGGCAAAGGCCAATAATAAGCTTTAAATGGAATGAAAAATAAATCGAATTTTATATGAAAAAAGAGGACAGTGAGAATAAAAACGAAACAAAAATACACACAGTGAAATAGTTTAATAGATTTTTAAAAAGCGAATTTAAATTAATCATTTTGGGGGAGATATTTTTTGAGTTTTATTACCATAGTCGAAAATTAAATCACTAGATATTGTTAATCCTTACTGCCAATGTTCCTTCACGTTTATGTGTATGCCTACCCTGCCTTATTCTTAGTCTAAACACATATTTTTAAATCATATGTATTTCTTACTCTGACAACATCTCCCTTAGTACAGATTATATTCATATGAACTCATTATCATTAAGAATGTATTTTACTTCAAATAACCAAATTAAACTTCGGCTGAAATTACTAGCACAATTACTGAGATTCCTGACCCCTGTTGATTAAGATTTAACGGTATGATTATAAATATTTAGTAGTAAGTAATTGGTTAACATACATTTCTAAATGTGCGCTCATGTAATTAGGAACACACTTTGTGTTTCCATTATAAATTCGCTAATTGGGTGTCAATGGTGCATTACTATAATTTGATCAGCTGAACTCCGTTTAGCGTAAACTGTTTTACTTGGTTGTCGAAATTCTTTTATTTAACATTCGAATTTTTTAAATCTGACGGTTTGATTGTCATGAAATATAAAGTTGTAACCTAAGAAAAGATTCACATCAATTCTATTGGAGTGAGACCTCCACATCTAAGGGGAAGCACGAAATGCAGTGGCCAGCTTGGATGCAACTAGACGATTTGAACTTCAAAAATGACCTAGCTATTCAGTCCCATATAATCCAACAAATATGGGTGAAGACAGTCACTGTAGCAGCAGCGATGAGACTATAATGTATAGATGACCTTTTAGCAATGCCACAGTAACCCTGGGAGTTTCACTTAATTACGGGAGTTAAATGAGGGTTATATATTAGTATGAGGAATCAGAACTAGGATTTACACCTAAACGTTAGGGTTAGGAGTTATATTTAGGGTTTTACCACGTACAGCTATAGTGTCGAGATGTTATTTAACTGTTTGGATGAATGAATTTCACGCGAAAATTCAAGACCTGTTATCCTAAATCTGATTGGTTCGTCCATGAGTTATAGTCTTACAACAGCAGCCTCTGGAGTAGTAGACATAAAGGTACACAACAACCCAATCACACTTGATGTAGAAACTCTGAGAGATGTGGAAACTTTCAGGAACCTGGGAAACATCATTGATGAAGAAGGAGGATCTGAAGCACATATAAATGTATGAATTTGCACGTAAGGTAAGTATTTCTACAACTGAAGAGCATATGGAACTCAAAACAACTGTCGACCAATATCAAAGTTGCAATCTTCAATATGAACGTAAAGATAGTTCTACTGTACAGAGCTGAAACTTAGAAAACTACTGCAACCATCATCAAAAACGCACAAGTATTTATGAACAGTTGTCCACACAATATACTCAATGTACGTTGGCCGCATATCATCAGCAATACCTCACTGTGGGAGAAAGCTAGCCAGCTTACATGTGAAGAAAAAATCATAAGATGACGCTGGAGTTGGGTAGGACATACATTGAGGCTATCACCAAACTGCATCATGAGACAAGCACTAACTTGGAATTTTGAAGGGAGACGGAAAAGTGGAAGACCAAGGGACACATTGGCCAGGAAATTGGTAGAAAACATGTAGAGGTCTTCATAATACAATCGATCACCAAGAGACAGAGAAAGGGATAGAGTAATCCGCCTTGTCTGGTACCAGTCTTCACTTGGAATCTACTGTCAACTGACATTCGTGCACGGCTTTCCAGTGTAGTCCGTCGCACGAATTCCGGATGATAGCGACGATCTTCTCAGGCACATCATAGTGTCGAACAAGCTTCCATAAGATTCTCTTACCCTCACTGTCAAATGCTTTCTCATAGTCAAGGAAGTTGATCTATGGTGACGAGTTTCATTCAAATGATTGTTTACTAATAATCGGTAGTGTCACAATTTTATCCGTTCATGACCCATCCTTACGAGATCCAAACTGAATCTTTCATTCGGTTCAACAACACTCTGTTAAAAACTTTTCCCAGTACTGACAGTAGTGTGGTGCCACTGAAGTTCTCAGACTTGCTTTGCTATTTTGATGACGTATCGTTCTTTCCAGTCTGTCGGCACTTGTTCTTCTTCGCAAATCCTTCTTAATAGAATGTGCAGCATGTTTGCGATTACCTCCATGTCTAACTTTAGTACTATCTTGAATCCTTTGACATTCTAAACTCTTCAGTGATGCAAAAATGATCGATCTACTTCTCTGTAGTGTGATTCCAGGAAATCCGTCTAGATTTGTGCATACTCTGTTTTGAATGAAGATTTTATGATTGTGGATACATGAGATTCCCATCCTATAAGTGCTTTACATGCTCCGTTGGATACCATCAGTGCGACTCTCTGTGTGTGCGTAGCATCTTCTTCTTCATGATCAGAGTACAACAGAAACTCTCCTGAATCTAATATTTGCTATCCAGATTTGTATCTCCTCATTTCTGCAGTTATTTTATTGGTCATACAGATCTCCCACATTGTGCTAACATTCCAATTACCTAGTTGTAGAAATAGGTATCGGCTTTATGTTATCTAAAGAATCTCGGATTTCACGATGTAGCTTCATTGCTCTTTTAAATAAAAAGCGTTTGACTCCTATGATAAAGATTAAGGGGCTTGAATGGGTTTTTCAGGTTAGCATTTTTAAGCAAGTTTGTCTTTATACTGGATGGCTTTACTAACCCCGTGCCCAACCCTCCTCCAGTATCCGGGGTTGGAAGCTTACACTAATTGAAAGAGAGCTCCAAAATGAGTCATTTATATATTGAAAATAAATACAAAAATTACTTTTCCAAAAGTTCTCCGACTATGTATTTTATTCACATGTTTCATTCAATTGTATTATGACTCGAAAACATGCGACATGTTTTCTTGCCCTATTTGAAGTTTACAATACTGTATGATTTATTTGTGCGTTTTTCGTTGTTTTGAAAATCCTTTATATATTTTAGGGAAATAGAAAGGTGTTTTGATGAAACAACCAAGCATTTTGGAGAAACGTGGATCTTCGCCTACATTCCATCAATGTTGGTTTCTTGGTTTTAAATCTCTAGGACCTTCAAGTTGCCTTGGCTAATTGATAGCACACAGTCTATGTTCTATAGAGTACATATGCTTACAAACTTTTAAGTCTTGGTAGGTAGATATTTGTGTGGTTTACTTAGCTCTTAATAAGATACAAGCTTTCCGTCATTGGATTTTACGCAAAAATAGAAGAACCGCCGTCTTACATTTGATTTGTTCATCACTTCTTATGACAAAAAATTGTCAGATGCAGGTAGTCAATTACTAATCATTGCTGTGAGAACATCTTTGAATGCGTTTTCTTAGAATCCTTTATAATTAGAATGTAAATTAGAAACGAATTTCTTGGTAAGTATTGTACTTAGAATTTCCTACTTTGTACAAGTCTACAGTATAAAAATTTACTGACCACTTGGTAGGAAAGGGGTATATATATATATATATATATATATATATATATATATATATAAATTTGTGGAATTTGTTAATTGGCTCATATTATAGATGACCATCACATCAACAAAATAATTGTATCTAGCTTGATGAGGGTTGTATGCATGGAGACGACAACAGAGTTTTAAATGTATTTGCTTTCGGTAAACTAAATTACAATACTTGATTATACAATCAGATTATAAGACATTTATCAGTCTTTCTTCACTGAAATCTACCACTAATAATTCACAGGTTATAAGTATTTGATCATAGGTACACCCGAAGAATTGCTTGTGCATTTTGGAACAACCGATTACAGAATGTTGACGTTAGAACCAAAGGACCAATTAGAATAGAAAATCGGTTTATGCAGTGATGATGAATCGTTATCAACTGAGATGGTAAGGAAATGGGTTAATTATGCCCAAAACTTTCGAACCTTGATTTTAATGTGGGAATAAGTTATAAGAAGCTAATGGTGACTAATTCAAGATATGACATCACTTCATGAAATCAGTGACTGTAGGACTGAGGTGTACTAATAGGTACAGACGACCACAATCAATAGTTAAAGATTATGGGTGTTATAACCCAGAATCAGTAGTAGTGGCCCAGGTGCATTCACTTTCTTCTTTCCCCTGGATCTTGAGATTCTAAATTATCATATACGTTTTATTCTGTGAATCGATTCTATTTTCTCGAATCACGCCGTCAAGGCCTAATTCTTTATTTTATTACTGATACTAATACTACTCATACTATTGTAGGATTTGTCTCTATACCCTGACCTTGTGGATCTGGTATGTCAGCTTGAACATATTCAGACGCAGTGATTTAAAATTCATTCATCCTTTTTTTTAACCTATGATCAATTTCCGGTTATGTTTAATCTCCCGTTTTAAATGATTATGCGCATTACAAATAATTATTACAAACCTACATACCTTAATATACTTGATTTTTTAAAATCATTAGACCATATTAAATTATAAAGGAAGTGAATTAAAACAAATGTAAATTCTATGTATGAATTATTTTTATAATGAGATCTTGTATTGAATCTATCCTTCATGGTATATATATATATATATATATATATATATATATATATATATATCACTTTTAAGTTCTGATTAAATCTTACAATTAAGAATAATGATAATAAAAATATTCATATAGATTTATTTCTCTGACATTAATATTAAATAAATAAATTGGTCATAGTTGTGAACTAACAAAGTGCATGACAAATCGAACCCAGAAGTTTCATCTTTACTCACTCTACACCCGCAACGATCCAAGTTTATAATCCCAACTACCATAAGAAATACAGTTATAGCTGATTGTATTGGCTGATATAAACGTGCTATTTTAAACCTAATGAAATTCGCTAATGTCGACCGAGTGGTCTAAATGGCATCTTGTTCACTGGCTGACCTAAACATATGGAGTTCTGTTTGAAGAGCCATCTTAAACTAAGTAAGAATGCCTGTCCAATGCACCCATTAGTTTACATTTCTAATTTGAATTAATTCGCGAAGCTGCACAACCGTTATCCATCACCATTGGCAATATATATTTTATGCACAACATGGTTGTTTGTTATCTTCATAATTAAATAATTTAATAACCATAGTATCCTGTCCATATCCGTTGTCATCATTTACTTTGACCATGATACACCCCATCTTTATTTAACAAGTCAACAAATATTGTAATCTCATTATATCAGTCATAATACGAGGCTGTAAGATATTTACGAACGTCTGACTGGTTAGCCATAACTGAGAATGAAGACCTTTAGAGCTGAATTATAAAACAATAACCAACTGTAATTAGAAGCTTCTTCAATGAAGTGACACACCTCATTTAGAAAACTTTGGTTGTTTTAGTTGCACTACCTCATGAATCCGCAGAAGGTGACAAAATATTTAAAGTATTTTCAGTATGGAGTTGTGAAGATTGTTAAGTTTCATTAAAATTAGTGACCGATTTTAGTTAGACCACTACTGAATATCTGGAAGCACTGGACGTCCGCTTATTCCTCATCGCGGAATCTTCAGCAATGGGTATCCACGACTTCTAAACCAAGAATCGAATTCGGGATCGGCTTATGCTTCCATGAAATTCATAATCCCACACTGGCAACTATCATCTGCATTCTTATAACTGGTTACAAGAGTTAGCTCTCTGAGTTCTGTTGAGAAGCGGTAACAAGCAGAGTTCAACCCTATGAATTGTACACTAGACACCTACCAATCCTATAAGAATATGCTTGCGAAATGTCACAAACTGGTTGAAGTTAGATCAACAAATCATTTGATGCCAATCCAATGATCTAACAATTAAGCTATCGTCACGATATTTGAAGGTTCTTGGTTTGATTCTGAGTTGGCTTGTGGATATTCACTGTCTAGGAATTCCATACTGGGTCGAAATAAATATCCAGTACTTCATAATTTTTTATTATTGTCTAACTAAGATCAATCTGTATTGTAGTCTATGAACTAAGTATCGGAGATTTTTTCCATTTACATACAGTCTACTAATTTACATTATTAAAATAACCTAATTAAAAATTAAAATTCTACAGATTTATTAGATGCAATCTACTTAGAAACCAGTTTTGTTTAGTAAAATCTGGTAGAGATGTATTTGAAAAGCACCCAGTGTGAAAATCTTTCAGAAAAATCATCATTAAGAGAACAGTTAATCATGTTGAGTAGTTGAAAACGTTGAAATAAAGATTACTGAGGATTTCTTTAAAATCTTCGAATTAAATAAATATCAAAACTTGCTTGTATAATTCCAACTAAGAAAGTAAGCGTCACGGCTACGATTGCTCTTGGTTCTGAATATTGTAGTGGCAACTTTTTAGTTATTATATCTTCAACTAGTGTGGAGTTTGAATTTATGATGGAATTATGATGATTAACTGCAACTTTTGAACTATGTTGTTCAATTGGGCCAACAATCAGTAGGCTTACAACAGCGAATGTACCTAAATTAAATAAAAGCAGTTATTTATGGTAAATTTAAGGTATAATAAATTTTAGTGGCTGACCATTTGTTATTAGACCTACACATCTCGGTTTTTATTCCCAATGTGGTCGTAGATACACACTTTTGAAGAGTTGCATACTAGGATGAAACAACCAACCAGTACTTTCTCCAACCACTTAATATCTCAAACTTATAACGTATTTTACCACTATTTACATAATATGGAAAGTATCATCAGTATAGAGTTGTGGAGATTGTTGAGTTTTTATTGAGATCATTAATCGATCGTTGTTAAACCACCATTGAAAACCTGGAAGCCACTACCAAAGACAGTGAACCGAAGGTCCTTGGTTCGACTCACACGTACGGGATCGTGGATGCGCACCGCTGAGGAGTCCCATACTATAACGAAACGGTGGTCCACTGCTTCTAGGTTTTCAATGGTAGTCTAACATTAATCAATTCATGATCTCAATGAAAATTATCATTAGTTTATTGCTAGATATTGAAGATTTTCAATGAGAATTTTATCAGCTCTATAATGAACCAGTTATTGAACCATATGAGTGATCAGTGGAATACTATGCCTTGAAACGACTCTGTACTTTCAAGAATACAGAACACGACATCCTGATAAATCGATTGATTGCAATTCTTGGATTCGTTGTAAATTATTATCAGTACTTTTTAGTGTAAAGAACAATTGTATTTTGTGTGTGATTTTCTAATTTACTTATATTTTTGATATCGATAAAATTTGGTTGACTCATATTATTCGTGAAATATTTAAATAATTCATTTTCAGTAGTTGTGCATATGACTTAAATCATCAAAAATAGAGGCTACTTGATATTACGTCATTTTAGTGTTAAATTGTTGGACGTAATTAGTAGGTAACTATAAATGTACTTCCTGGACTATTCAGTACTTTTTAACAAGGCATAATTAAAGTTTTGAGATAACCAACACAGTGATTTGAATTCGAACCCTTATCACATAGTACCACAGTTAAAGACCTGGGGGGAACAACTATCGAGTCTTTTAGTCTGGTTGCTACTTTGCAGAGTAACCAACAGAATATAATCATCAGGAAGAACTAGATAACTAGGAAGTGGTAAATAGTTGTTTCGTCTTATGTCTTTTCTCTGGTGGAACTGTGGATGTTAGGACCAAACAGTTAACTGTTATTTCTTTTATTTTAGTGTTTATTTAATTAAGATAATCTCGTAATGGAAAACTTCATTGTTCAACTGTATATCGCCTTCTACATTTCTGAGCATGATATGTAATGAAGTGACAGTATTGAACCTTGTTTGTCAATCAAATTACTTGGTTTAAGTTAACAGAAAGGTTTCTTCTCAAAAGTATTTGATCAAATTTCGAAAAGTAATTCATATATTGAATTAATTCTATTTAGATTCACTTATATAGGAGTGTAATATTTGATCAACTCGGTATGAACTTTACATTAGAACTAGCGGAGGTTATAAAAGAAAAAAAAGTGAAGTAAATTCCAAATAAAATCATAATTATATTCTACAGTTGAAATTCAAAGAGTCACCTATCCAAAACATCACTTAATTGACTTCCTCTATTTAATTAAAGCACGATTATATCTATTTCCTTTCATTTCAGCGAATTCAGTTCAAATTGATGAAAGAAGAATTCACTTGGTGTTGTTTGCCTGTATCTTCCCATTGTTATTTAGGACTTCAATTGATCAGTCTCTTGTTGGCATATGTGCATCCTGTGAGGACTCCTTCGATATTGCCTTAGGTCACAAGCTTTATAAGCAAAGAAGAATGAAGACAATTCAGAGAAAAAAACTTCCCTTCCGACGATATCATATACCTAAGATGTACAATCTTATTTAATATGCCTTGATTTTTACTAATTAATATTATCATAATGCTAGTAATCTAAACATCTTGATTTCGGATTAGACGTTACCGTATTACGACACTGGTTGATACAGTTCGGTTGTCACTAATTAAAACTTAGATATTATTACAATGATTATCCTTTGGAGACCAAGCGATGCATTTTATTACGTGAAGTTATTCGTAATATGAACAGCTGTAGTAACATCCCCAGATGCTCAAATAAGGGATGACTGTTTCATTTATTGTTAAAATATCACATCCTTGGCATTATATAAATGGTTTAATAATAAACATCACTAATCACAAACACTAAGGTGAATAATATATCATGCCGACTCCTTCCAAACATGGGCATAAAAAATCGATTGGAGAGAAAATTAAATTTGTAAATAGTTTCTTTCCATTAAATTTAATTTCTTTAGTGAGACTTTCACTTGTTAATATTTGTTCACAAAGTGAGAAATATAATAAATTTGATAGAGGGGGAAATTCTCCTCATTTCAAAATTAAATCTGCAGTCTAATACTACTATCAAGTAGTTTAAACTAATTCATAAAACCATCCCATCCCACTAATTTACGGCAATCGGTCAATTCTTTCGACAAGTAAATAATTCATATCCGTGTAAATAGTACCTAAATATAGTGTCGAATGTTAGTATAGAATGAACAAACCTAATTAATAGCACTGAAACCTATGTGAATGTAAAAGGTCTCTTAATTTAGTGTATTGTTCAAGCCATTGTGTTACCATTTTATCAAATGTGCATTTACTTCCATCAATTTCTCTGTTTGATAGTTGCTTGAAGTAACTAATCATCTCTTTTAACTGCATGTCCTCACGTTCTTTTTTAGTGTTTATAATTTATGGAGAATCTAATTAGTGAGAAACTCGAAAAGTACAACCACTGTGATTTATACATTTTCCTACTTCTTACAGTATAATCGAGGCGCCAAATGTATTCAGCAATGAAAACGAGATTTCAAAGGGAACAAGAATGGTCACAGATAATTTAGGAATGACTATGAATGATAGCTAATTACTATTTAAAAGCCTTTTATGCACATTTTCTTAGTATTCACAGATTAATTGAAGAAAAAAAGGGAGTGTCATTGCAATACTGCATATTTCTTGCTAAGGTTTCTTCACTTTAGTCAAACGTATGATACTGAATCAAGACAGTATTATTCGTCCTTTGATCGTATTTTCACACGTTGCATTACTTACTTAGTACTACCTGTTAGACAATTTCGAAGTAATTTTCTATTAGTAAGTAATATCAGCTGAAGAAACAGAGAAAATTAAAAAAAATATTGATAGTTATTTTACCGCAGTTTTGAACTCTTCAATGGTGTGCAATCAAAACCCACCCAATCGATGAACTTAAAATTTCGTAGAGAACTAAATACCATTACTGAGAAATATTAGATACCTGAAAGTATAATTCTTAGATATAAAACAGTGAAAAGTTTCCAAACATTTGCTTTAAAGTTTAAAACATCTTGTTATTATAGGTTTGAACCATTGAAGTATATATTCCACATAGTTGCTACTGTAAACAGCATAAAATCTTGAGGTTATGTATTCCATTTCAATTGCAATAGTAAATGTGTATTATTGAAAATCACTGAACTAAAATGAAAGAATTTTCATATGCTTTATGACCTTTCATCATTTTCTTGTTAATGACAATTTGTAATGAGATCTTATTTTAAAGAAATATTAAAGAATCTCGAATAGAATCATTTAATTTCATAAATAGTTTGACTAGAACCAAAATAAGTATAAACTAATATGCAGGTTTAGTATATATATTAAAGTCATATTATTGATAATCATCAATAATAAATTAACCATAAAGCATTAATCCATTGTTGATTTAACATGATTATCTTTATTTTGATCTAATGATTTAACATTAATGTGTTATACAAATGTACAGTTTTACTGAATGATTGATTTACAGTGTATGTATACATGTACATGTAAGTATTTATGTACCCATGTACAGTAATGTGTATTTTATTTCAGTACATTCATACTAGATGAGCTCTATTCACTTGGATAAAATATATTGTCAATGATTATTATATTTATTATGAAAGAAATTCTTAATAGTTGAATTCATAAGTCAATTAAAGCTAGACCACCATGGAAAACTATAATATCCAAAAAAAACCTTCTCTGATTAAATTTTTATTATTTTATCAATGTAATGACTTGAGGAGATTAATGAATTTTGGTGGTTTACACCACGAACTGATTTTAGTCAAATAATAACTGAAAATCAGGAAGCACTAGATAATTGTTTCATCCTAATACCCAAAAGCCAACACAAAATCGAACCAAGAACTTTCAAATATCGTGACGATAGCTTAATTGTTAGATCATTGGATTGGCATCAAATGATTTGTTGATCTAACTTCAACCAGTTTGTGACATTTCGCAAGCATATTCTTATAGGATTGGTAGGTGTCTAGTGTACAATTCATAGGGTTGAACTCTGCTTGTTACCGCTTCTCAACAGAACTCAGAGAGCTAACTCTTGAAACTAGTTGCTAGTTATAAAAACAAAAATAACTTAACCTACCTATCGGTCATTGAAAAGTCATCGATACCACTTGTCTAATTCATATTGAATTCTACTGAGAAAGCATTCCACTTATCTATTTAAATAAGTAGGTGATGCATTACACCTGGGACTTCCAGAAAAACGATACCGTTAACGCTTCTATTATCATATAAAGAAGAAACGATAATCATCTTTTTTAAAGCACCGAAATAATTTAGGATGAACTTTTATTAAAATTAAAAAATTTTTTATTCATGTTAGAGAGTTATTGGAAATAACTGGGCCTTGATTTAAGTAATCGCTTAACATGTATTGATTAGTCAGTTGATTTTCCTCATGGAGCGAACTTAACTAGATAAATGATGAATGCCAAAAAATAATAGACAACTGCTTCATGATGTCCGTATCCACCCTCTTGAAATATTGAAACAAATTTTAAACATTGATAATATCGACCTCAATAGGCTAGAGATATAAGGTTCGAGTTTTAGCATTACACTTAAAACTACGTTTGGAGTAAACATCATCTGAACTCGGAAAATA